ATAAATACATAAATTACACTTAATTCTTAATTTAGAAAAAACATAATTATTTTGAGATAAAAAATAGACAATATTGTGATTTTAAGTTAGTTTAATTATTGATTGTGTCTAGATCAGCAATGGGTCTTCGCAAGTGCGAGGAAAGGCTTTGCATCCCTATGCCAGCTAATGGCGGGGTAGGTATACTGCAGGGGTTTTCGTCGTAAATTTTACCTCATTTCTATTACTTACGAGAGATCTTACATTTGGGGGACAAAGTGGGTTAGGATTTAAATTTTTTATGATTGTGTTAAGATTTAGATTTTTTAGAGTTTAGTATTTGGGATATTGGAGTTTTTTTAGAGTTTAGTATTTAAGGTGTTAAAGAGTAGATTTTTTGGGATTGAATATTTAAGATGTTAGGGTTTAAATATTTTAGGATTTAGTTAAGATTTAAGGTTTAAATTTTTTAAGGTATAATATTTATGATGTTAGGAGTTAAATTTTTAAGATTTAAGTATTAGTTTTTTAGGGATTAGAATTTATATTATTAGGGAGTTTAGGGTTTAACAATTAAAAAATTAAAAATTATGAAACTTACAAGTAAAAATTAAGGAAAAACCCTTCTTAAGCCCTTGAACTAAAAATAAAGCGAATAAACCCTCCAACTCCCTGTATGAAGCAAATCAACCCCTTTGTTAATTAAGCCTCTCAACGTCGTTTGTGTAATGGCTTGCATGGCAGTTAATCTCCATGTGGCATCCAACGTATCAAACAACTTCATTCATGGAAAAGAAATGGAAAACAAAAACACTAACCATATAGAATGCCAACCACAAGAGCACATACAATTGCAGTTGTCACCACCCACAATGATGCACTCTTTATCCGTTTGTCAACACTCCTACCATCAAACAACAAGAGTAAATTAAAAAAAATGAAAACCCATTCAAATAAAAACAGCACTATAAAATCAAAAAACCCAAGGAATACAAACTTGTCTTGGTCTCCTTCGTAGTAGAACATGGTAAACGGGATAATGAAGAAGACAAGCACAGCATCCACAATATAAGCAATGAGCCACAGATCCTTCATCAGGAGGGTGAGATTACAAGCGTCATTGTATATGGCATGCCTGCACGCCTGCTAGTTGGCGACATCCACTAACAACATGAGAATGGATATCAAGGTGATGGAAAGACCCAAAACGACAATGAATTTAAGGAACTACACTTGATTGGCGTCGCCCAGGTGCTGGAAATTGATGAGGAGATAAAAATTGAAGATGAACACTAGCACACAAACCACTATCATGATGATCACTAGAGCGAGGTTGAAATCGCCTATCATTTATAGCTCTCCCAATCGACCCTTGTTAATATCAAGAGACGCTGATGGACATTGGGAGATTGGGGTTTTCCTTTTTTTAGTGAATTTGATTGGGGATTTTCGTAGATCTTGGCTTGTTCTTTTCTTGGAATTTTTTGAAAAAAAAATGGAAAAAGGATTCCCTTCAGTGAGGTAGTTTGTTGAATTTTGGGGGTGTTTTTGATGCAGTTGAAAAGGATATTTACTGCCATGCAAGCGATTACCCAAACGACATTGAGGGGCTCAATTAACAAAAGGGTTGATTTGCTTCATACAAGGAGTTGGACGGCTTATTCACTTCACTTTTAGTTCAGGAGCTTATCACTTGCTGTCAAAAAAGTTGAGGGGCTTAAGAAGCGTGTTTGCCAAAAATTAAAAGTTAAACGTATCTTAAAAGAAAAAAAAACAAAACAAAACAAAAAAATGGCTATAGGACCTATCGGTCTTGGGATCAAGGTAGTCAATGCCATACCAGTATGGGTACCGATTTTACTACTAAAACAGTATGTACTAGATATCGAAATTTTTCGTATACCGTTTCGAATTTATTGTTATAAATATATATTTTTTTATAAATTAAATATCAAATTTTAAAATAAAATAAGATATACTAATATTTAAAACCATCGTATTCCTATAAAATGAAAACAAATTTAAAATGACAATTTTTAGTCCCTCAACTTTTAATATATGCATATTTTTCATCCATCTACTTTAAGTTAAGGGATTAAAAATATATATATTTAGATAAATTTAACAGAATAATTGATAAAAAGACTAAAAAAATATATTTTTCGTAGTTGATGGATTAAAAAAGTGTATTAAAAAGTTAAATGATGAAAATTATGTAAAACATTAAAGTTGAGAACCAAAAATTAAACTTCTCTTTTTTTTTAATTCGAATGGTATTATACGGACTAATTTTCTTGTACTGTTCGGTATATTAAAATATTGATAAGTACATCAAAATTTGATTAAAATAATCAAAATTTAACTAAAATAAAATTAAATCATGTATCATTTTCATTTAATATAAAAATTAGTACTAACAACCGTACCAACAGGTATCGGTCGGTATCAACTTCCCTGCTTGGGACAGACTTTAGACTTGACTGAGACTTCGTTTCACAGCATTGTTTTCCGTTGCAGATGTAAATTTTTTTTTTAATATTTTAAAAATATATAAAATATATAAAATATTTATTTTAATTAATATTTTATATATCTTTTAAAAAA